AAATAAATTGCAAAATCTACGTTTTGGGTGTCAAAAAATTGAAATAAAAAACATTTACACCGGGTAAAACCCACAATACAACCCCGCTCCCATAGGAAAGTCATACTGGTTCGCGAGATCTTTCGAGTAAACGTAGATTTAATTGTTTGTACCAAATTACATGAAAATCGGATGATTTTTACTTCAGTTCCTGCTTATGGACACACATCTGTATACAGGGTGATTGATATAATAGGGCCAGCAGTTTTATTCGAGATATAAGAAGAAGCTATAAGAAGATATAAGAGATTATAAAAAAATTTTAAATTTTAACTGCTTTACATTTTTATTTAAACAATTTTGGTCAAGTTGAAATAAATAATTTTGCCACAATTTTTCAAATATGGATGCCATCTTCAATTTTTCTTATGGAAGACCCTATGTTTTATGATTTTTTTTAAAGTAAAATGTTCCTCCTGAAATTCCCCACAAACCCTAAAAATGTTCGCTGGCATGTCTGGGATTTAACTCGTCATCCTGACTTCAAATTCCAAGACGTCGGGCAACGCCCAGCATTTATGTAGAGTTAGACCATTGTAGTTTACAATGAATGAATGGAATTTTTATAGCATAAATAAAAAAAATATGCACAGCTGTGTGTTGAGTACTACAGGTACTATTATAATACATGATTTAAATTTATTACTTGGATTAGTACATCATATTATGTTAAACAAATGTACATTGATAATTTTCATTGACTTACGGGTTTCTGAGATAAATCCAAACTATACTTTAAAAACGTATTTATAAAGTAGAAAGAGCGAAAGAGCAGTTTTTTCAATGCAGTTTATACCGAACAAAGCGCTTCAAAACACTATATCTGTGAAATCCTTCTAGCTGAGTGGATTATAGTTTTATACAGGTGAAGCCTTATATAATGTTATTCCCTCCCACCAATCAATTATTAAATTAAACATTTCCTCTCATCCTTTTCAATTTGGAGTTAAATACTCAATTTGTTGGATATATTGCTAAATATTTTAAATTTTAAAATAGTTATATTGCAGGAATACAAATTAACGGTAATAATATTATATAGTTCTGCAAAGGATCGTTCACAAAAATCACCTAGATTATACAGAATAATTATAAATTTATATTATAGATTAGGGCCATCGTTGGTGCACATAACATAACAGCACAGCGATTGATTGGCGAAATAGTAAAATAAATTTGTGGAGATTGCACAGACATCTGTGTGAAGCATTAACATATACACATTCAATCCAATATAAAGTTTACAAATATTATTTATTAATAATTTCAAATCATTCATTTATGTTTTGTTCAGAAGTAATTGATTTTCAAAATATGGTAGCTTCAGTAAAGAGTTCCGTTTTTGAAAGACATAAACGTTATAATACACACTCGCGATTTCTCTTTATGTAATATAAAAAAGACTGAACGATAATTTACATAAGGATTCTTGTTTTGGAAAGGTAAACGTTATAATGAATGGTAAGGATCTCTCAAGGCGCCATTATTAAGTTTAAACAAGCCCTCTCATGTGGAGATTAATTCTGATCTGTAAATACGCCTACTTACCTCTCCAGCCTAGCGGGTTTTCATAGTCTTTTATTCTTTATTTTGTAAACTCTAGAGGCTTGTTTGTGGAATCTTTACTTAGAACTTACATTTTCGCATTATACGTTTTTAAATGACTTCACAGGTTAAATTGCATGAGTCATAGTTTTATAAAAACACTGAATTGTATTAAAAGATTTTTTACATTATAAATATTTTTTTTAAAGGATAAACAAATATGTTCAGTAAATCTGTGTATTCAATTTAATTGAATTCCATTCATTAGTTTTCACGGTAACATCATTTTTTAAATGGTACAAAGTTCTTGATAAAATAAAATAAATATTTAGCTTGGAACTTAATTTATTTACGGATTCACCATATTAAAGGATAAAGTAAAATTAGCGAGAGGATGGTTATAATTTACAGCACTCATATATATGAAAAGCATAAAAGAAACCACCTTAATTTTGTAAAGATAACACCAGGAATTGTAGGAATTGAATATTGCACAAGTTAACGGATTTCAACTTAAATACATAGTTGACATTGCAACAAAGTCATGACGAGTCGAAATGGTTCCATACGAACAGGCAGATAAGGCGTTTAGAAACACCAGACATGCATACTACTTTTAGTTACATAGGACCCAGGACACTAAAGATTGCTATGAAATTTAATAAGTTCTGACCATCAGCATTCAGAACACCTAGAGTAAAATACTGCATTGGCAAATAGAAGAACGTAACAATTTGGACGCTTCGGTGATCTACAAAATAAGTTTCATTCCCATCGACTGTGATGGCTTTTACATTGGACACATTTAAGACTTATAAGACATAAAGTTAGTATTTTCAAGTACAATCATAGATATGTTAATTAAAAAGTACTATAAACCAAAATTTGTTACTCTGTACATTTATGATTGATATCCCTATATCATTTTATTTAACTACCGCAAAGGGCACTATTAGTTTTATAGCATCCTCATTTAAAAAATAAAACTACCTGGTCTGGTTTCTACACCTATTAACGAAACCCCTAATTTTCTTTGAATAATACAAAGAATATGTGTTTTAACTGATACTTTAGCATTGAATACAATATTTAGTGTATTAATTGCAAACACACTCATTAGGTAATCACACATAAGTCACTATGAAAGTGAAACTGTTTAATTAATGCACTTACAAATTCATACGAAAACAAAATTTGTAGTTTTATTGTTCACCACTTTTTAGAGCAATGCAAAACAAAGCATTTTTCATTGAACATCACCGGCGTGATCACAGTTATTTACGCTTCATCCGTTCTGAACTTTACACCACAACAAATGCGGACGGACGTACGTTTGTCCAACGGAGATAAGCACCGAACAGGATAGCAAAAAAATATCCTCTCGTTTAATCCTATACACTAAACCAGGTAAAATAAATCGCAGGAACCAATCCTATCCAGCGTGTTCAACTGTCGTTGCCAGATATAACATAAACAACAAACCTTCACTAGCGCCACATGTATAAATCGGTTGGGTAAAAATTTCACTTCTTGATTTCTTTGGGACTCTGAGTTTGTAAATAAAACTAACCAAAAAAATAAAGCCTTCAGTAAGTTTTGGTATCGGTAAGTCTTCGTAATGGCAAGATTAAGTTGATTTTAGACACAAGATTGATGACTGTTTATGTACAATACTCTAGAATATACAAAATTATCTTCAGAAATTATTTTCAACTATTTTAAACTATTTTTTTTAAGATATTATTTTTAACTATTTTCAAAAGGTTTTATTAAAATGTGTAGTAAGCTTCACAAAGTTGAAGCTTTAATCACTAATTTTGTTGATCCATAATTAAAAAAAGTTCAATGTCTAATTAATTTTAATTTTTAAATGATGAGCTTTACAATATTGTTATTTAGGGCTATTGGTAGTAACCCTGTGAGCCAATCTAGACAAATTTAATCTTAATTAAATTTCCCACTTTAAGTAGAAATGCCATGTCTTTTTTACGGATTTTGAAATTATCACTTTAAATTTAAATCTTTGCTACGGATGTTACTATCGTTAGAGTCTAATTAATACAACCGAGAATGTAGGAATTAGGTGAATCTTTTACCGTACTAAAACTGTTATGAAAAAACCTTTGTTAAGAATGAATTCAACAGAAACAAAAAATAAAATAATTTACAGAATATAAAATAAGAGATACTTAAAGATCAAAAACCTTTTATAAAGTATTATGTTAGGCATCGTCTATTCCTTGAATCCTATTGTTATAAGCACACTGCTTCACTGAACAAAGCTATTTCCTTCCTCATAACTTCCTGTACAAAATTAAATATTTATTTAGAGTTAAGTCTCTTAAAGTTGAGAAAGGGACAATTTAAAAAACAAAACTTTGAGCATTATCACTTCAAGTTTAAATTTTTGCTATGTATGTGATTATGATTAGAGTCTAATACAACTTTGAATATATAAATTAGGTACATTTTGAGTAAGAATAATTCTCTAAAGGGTTTTCTTTCAACTTCAACTTCGTTTGAACTAAATTTTGTTTGAAAAACATTATTTTGTCTGTCACTTGAGATTTGTGAGGAACATTAGACTTTGAGTGTTAAGTAAATATAAGTTTCTAAAACCCTAAAGAAATAATTTAATTTAGAGATAATATTACATAGTCTGCTATCTAAGATTTGTTAGGAATATTGCACTTGTAAAGTTGGTGTGTCGTGTAAAGTTACAGTAAGATGGAAAGATGAGACGCTTGTTGCTATGGCAACAACAATACTGCTCTCTTCTCAAGGAAGAGTTTCAACTGAGCCTTAAACAAACTGGTCTCATGAGAACGTGGATGCTGGGCTTGTTGTAAATCTACGACTGGTTCCCAATCGTTTTTAACATTGTATAGTAAATACTACAGACACGTATGGAACCCACTTCACTTATATACACGAAATGTCTTTATTTTTCCTCTAAACTCTGGAGTAAAAATATGCAGTTAATATAAATTGACCTAAAAGTAATACCAATTAATTGCTAAAAATGGATACTTTCAAGTACGGCGTGAAATAATTAACGGTACCTATAATGCTATTGGTCAATACCGCTGTCTAAGCATTTTGGTAGAAAAATGTTTTACATAAATATTAAAAAAAGTAGTTAATGTAACTTACTATGAAAATTAAAAGTATAAATATTGAAGCCCAATCATACACGTGGTCTTACTTTTTATACAGTACCTTTTTTCCTTTTTTACCTTTTACCACATTTTTAAGGGAAACAAGCACCACATATTTAACTTGATTTGATTTTAATCAGGTTTCCAGGAGGGGTTTACCTCATACAAGCATTTTCAGCCAGGAACATCTGACACAAAACGTAAAATGCAATACAATTTTCGATAAAAACATAAAATATAGTTCCAAATTTGTTTCAGATGAGAACCAAACAACGATGGAAGTGACATCCAGGAAATATACTACACCGTAGCGGGTACCTCAGCGAAGATGAGGCGCCATGGTACCCGCTGAGCGCCTGGTGTGGCTCATCCTCAACATCCTGCTGTTGCTCCTGGCCCGATCATCTGATGGAGGTACAATTAATGTAGATTGTAGGGTGTATACATTGTCTGGACCTCATTCTGGTATCTACAGAGATGTTTCTAAGTTTATACCTAATGGTAAAAAGACGTGATGTTTTCGTTAATTGAAAATTGTTAACTATTAATTTAAAGCTTTTGCACATAAGTGTTTATTGTATCGCAATAGACGTCCTAGAAATAAGGCAGTGACTCTAGTATATTGTTTGACTGTCAAAAGCCACTTGATGAGGTTCCATGAAAGCATACCAACAAGACTAATTCAGTGTAGTATTAAGCTGAATCGTACGTCATAGCTGTCCATGTTCATTCCTGAGCTGATTATAACATCATCGAGCTAAACTGTCTGAAAACCAAGAGTTTAGATGTATTGTATGGTATACCCAAACCCATTGTAGTCCCATATAATGTAGCAACGTCCTTATAGCACAATTTGTAAAGTTATTGCGTGTAAATAGTATTAATATTATCAGCAAATTTTTTTGAATGTAATTGATTGTAAAAATGGTGATTTTGCCGTAAATAAAGCCCTTAAGTTTATTCATATCTATATTCATACCCCCTACTGGGCAGTATATTTGATTATTACTGCATTGTTTAATATGCTAAGAATGTCCCAATAAAACAGTAAAAAAAGAAATAAAGAAAAAAATGTTTCGGTTGTTTTGATTTGACATCATTGTCAGGAACTATCTGAAGTTTAGGCATCAGCAATTGTAGTAGATTACCCACAGTTATCCGAGTGGTCAAATTGTGTCTACAACTTGGAAAGTGTGTTTTGTATCTCTGTTGGCAGATAACAATTAAACCGCATCCTTAGTTAAAATGCGGAAGTCTTGAAATAAATGGGTCAAACCCTAATACGGTTTTATTTTGACGATAGTAGGTGTGGGTTCACAAATTTAAGTTGGGAAAACCCACACCAATCATGTATCTAGGGCCAAATCTAAAACCAAGAACGATAAATAACATAGTTTACGTTCAAAGTAAATAACTTAAAGTTTTACTGAAATACAAACGAAAAAGTGGACACATACAATTAAAGAGTTCACACTTGCTTTGTTAAAATGGGACCTTAGTTTTCTTTAACCTATTTAGAAATAAGTTGTAATTTTGCACGGTCAGAAAAATTACAATATTTAATGAATTAGTGTCACATAATTTTACCTTCTTAGTCTGTTATCTATGATATTTCAATTTTCTTCTATAACATTTCATCCAACATTTATTGTTCCAGGAAGTACTTTAACTAGGATAGTGCAGACCCGGTACGGTAAGCTACAAGGTTTCATCAATACCATGAACCCAGCTCGGAGCCTCAAACCCATCGAAGTATTCCTTGGAGTACCCTACGCCACGCCACCGATAGGACCTAATAGGTACTATACACCATAACAGTTAAATTACACTATGAAGAATTAAGTCCATTGAACAAACTAGGTTATTAGGTTATTAGGATATTAGGTTTTACTACTCCATTTCATTGTAACACAAAGATCGATAACAGTGTAGCATGCATGTTCGTTGTGGTCCCTTATCTGCAAAAAATTTAAACAAAATTAGGACATTGAAAATAACTGACAATGAATTTTTACTGCCTTAGCTTGCAGATAAAATTGTAAAATTATGTATGTCTTGTTTTATCTATGTTTTTATAATATCTGCGAACAATTTAAAAAAATTTTACAAATGAATTTAGTTTTATATTACAGTTTTTGTATTAGATACGTTCGCTTATGTTAAACCCAAAGTTTATTTTAACCTAAATGTATGATTCATTGATAGATCTTAGCGAGGAGCAAGGTTTGTTTTCATTTGTATGCATGTTATGTATCTATTATCTATCTATATCTATCTATTTATACTTTTTTAATACGCATGCAGGATTTTTGTGACAATTACTCCTCCGAAACTACTGAACCGATTGTCATGTTTTTGGTGTCATTGGAAAGAGCGTAGCGTGAAGTTGTGCAGGAAACTTTCTTTTTAGGGAAATAATGAGAGAGTGAGGCCCTGGAGCCCTTTAAAGTTTCGTATTTCTCCATAAGATTAACATTGGAAACAAAAATTGTTATGAAACTCCAGCTGTTGTCAGAAATCAAAAGTGAGAAGAAGAGCATAGGTTAATACTAAACAGTCAATAAGTTTGCTAATATAGGTAGTATTATAACAGTTTGCTACAAATATTTACTTAGCAATTGCTCGAATTCGAGCAACAGGGACACTAGTACTTATTTAATACGCAAGCAGGATTTTTGTGACAATTACTCCTCTGAAACTACTGAACCAATTGTCATGTTTTTGGTGTCATTGGAAAGAGCGTAACGTGAAGTTGTGCAGGAAACTTTCTTTTTAGGAAAATTATTAGAGAGTGAGGCTCTGGGGCCCTTTAAAGTTTTGTATTTCTCCATAAGATTAACATGGGAAAGAAAAATTGTTATGAAACTCCAGCTGTTGTCAGAAATTAAAAGTGAGAAGAAGAACATATATTAATTGTAAACAGTCAATAAGTTTGCTAATTTAACAGTTTGCTACAAACATTTACTGACACTAAACAACTAAAACACTAATAAACAAGATCAGCTTTTGAAAAATGATAAGATATTTACAAGAGATGTTGATTATATCGATCTGTTATGTACATCTTGAGTATTTCCATAATCTTTGAGTCGAATCTTTTAAAGTCATCAGAAATTATGACTGTTAATTGTTTTAAAATAACTTCTGTAATACTTAGCAATTGCTCGAATTCAAGCAACCGGTACACTAGTACTTATTTAATACGCAAGCAGATTTTTTGTAACAATTACTCCTCCGAAGCTACTGAGCCGATTTACATGTTTTTGGTGTCAATGGAAAGAGCGTAACGTGAAGTTGTGCAGGAAACTTTCTTTTTAGGGAAATAATTAGAGAGTGAGGCCCTGGGGCTCTTTAAAGTTTTGTTTTCCTCCATAAGATTAACATGGGAAACAAACACTGTTATGAAACTCCAGCTGTTGTCGGAAATTAAAAGTGAGAAGAGGAACATATGTTAATTGTAAACAGTCAGTAAGTTTACTAATTGAACAGTTAGCTACAAACATTTACTGACTTGGTTGAAATTACTATTTGAATTTGGGTTGTTGTAAATATTACAATGGAAAAAGCGGGAGAGCCTGGATAATTTGATATACTAAAAAGAAAACTGAAATAACACTATGCTGCATTTCTTAGTAATCATTGAAAGAGCCGATTTGCAAACTATGGGAACATAGGAAAGTCATAGAACACCACCAAGGAGAAGAAATAGAAATAATTTTTTTTTTTTAATTTTTTTTCGTTAAAAAACAAGATCAGCTTTAAAAATTATAAGATATTTACAAGAAATGTTGATCATATCGATCTGTTATGTAAATCTTGAGTATTTCCATAACCTTTAAGTCGAATCTTAAAGTCATCAGAAATTATGACTGTTATTCATTTTAAAATAAAGCCTGTAATACTTAGCAATTGCTCGAATTCGAGCTATAGGTACACTAGTATTATTATAAAATTGGTATTTATATATTTTTGAGTAGTTATGCACGTTACTACAGACCAATGTAACTCACCTCAAATCAATGTGTGACTCGATGTAACCTGTAGGAGGAATCGGAGGGTTTTTTGAATGTAAAATTAAGTAAAGTAAATTGTGTTTCCTAACGAAATGTTGTATGTAACACAAGAAATCAGGAATAACTTACCGTTGCTCTTGTAAAAAATAATACATTATAGTAACACGATCCTGTGAAATAAGCGGTACAATGACATTAAATAGCCTATTATCTTAGAATTTTTAAATTTGCATTAATCTTGAGACCTATTGATTTTTCTTCGTAGAGATACATTTTAGATAAATAATGATATCAGGTTATTTATGGCCATGTTGTGTTTTAAGGCATTACTTGCAACAATTGTCAATAACGGTTCAAAAAATTAAGTAAATTAAATTATACCGTACCTATATTTATAGAGTAATAAAATAAAACCAGTGGTTTCAAGGGGGGGGGGGGTTACATGTCCGTAAAACACAAAATAAAAAGCACGGAACAATCAAATGAATGTGTTAACATTTGTTTATTTCAAAAGCGAACATTTAAGTCTCTTGGAAACACACAAACACATAATTTTCATGCATATTCTATATGAGATATGAATAAAAGATAAAAATCTGATGACGAGGCGGATGCTCTTCCAGAGTTTATTGATATTTAGAAGCGCGAAACTGGCATTCTTTCAAAGAGATCTTGTCGGGTTCTGAGCAAAAGATGCAATCTTATTCCACTAAAAGATGCAATCTTGAATGGATTCTACTATATTACATCTATATAATCCCCCTATGAGAAGTTTTAAAAGACATTTTTGCATCGTATAAGATCAATAGAAAAGTATGATTTGCGTATAAACTCCATTATGTTCGTTTTCAATATTGATTTTAAACTGTTAGTACTTTGTTTATAATTAAATTTTCATATATTTAAAAATATACATGAACAAGCTAATTGGTTTGTTGGAATATGATTTCTAGGCTTATAACACAGGATATACTATAATTTAAAACATAAAAATAATAAAGTTCCCACAATCACGGCATTTTAATAGCTTACACCACATTCTTATCTACAATCAAAAATATGCTGTTTAATATACATGTGTATTTATGTTAGAAAACAATAATGGGAGTGAAATTGTATACATTAAGAAAGAATCTGTTTCATATACAGGATAAAGATTCTTTTAATAGTATATATGTTTAAAGTAGATATATTCATACAAGTAATATACATTGTGGCTGAGTGCACGTTTACGTGTTTGTGGTTACATGAAGCACTGAACTGGTGAATATGAGTGGCTAGGTGGTTACCAATAACTATTCAACATAATTTTAGAGCCAGTAAAACAATACAGTACACTTCATTTATAGGATAATTCACTTCATTTATAGGAGGTGAATTCTTCCTTGATATAAACAAATCTTTATCAAATTTTAACACGATTAAATAATTCCTTTTCACAACACGTTATTCAATCTATAACAGTGTACACGTGCTATTTTTAGACTATGATGCACTTGCAATCAATGCTTTGATGTCAAGAGAATGCAGTAGAATGACCTTCTTCAGATTATTATTTCGTTTGAACTTTTCCTTTATGTTAATGAGGTTGAATTACCGTAAACTCATTGATTTTGAACCAAAAATTCTCTTTTAAATTCAATGAAGCTAAACTTATTTTAAATAACTTTCTTACACCATGTGGGGTTGATTTGTCATATATTTTTCCAAGTATAATTAGTAATTTGGAAGCTTATTTTATACGAAAGAAAATGTAGCTTATGTTTAGTTTGGCTTGTTACACCAATTGTAGCATATGGGTCAGTCTATCCAGACTTTTTCAATCATAACAATTTAGGGTTGCATATAAAACATTAAACGTGTGACTTTTGTTGATTATATACCGTTCCCAGTGAAAATCCTTTCTTTGCCTCGTTAGAAGCATAGAAACCCCATACCCCCGATAGCTTAGTTCAGCTATAAAGTTCGCAGTGCTTGTTTCATTTCTGAATAGATTTATTTGCGTGTCTTTTGTTATGATTATGGCTAGTTATTTAACATAAGGATGGAATATCTAAGAGTAGGAAATCCATCATAAAAATAAAATTCAAAAGTCTAAAATACATTTTTTTTCTAGATTTTTAATATTGAGATAGGATCATTTTATTGGTTTTTAGCCTCTTGACCACATTTAAATACTAATAATAACTAAATTGGTGTTTTTACCTAGATTCACCTGATCTCTTGTGTTGACTTAACATAGGAGTCATCTTCAGGCTGTACAGATGGCAGAGACAAGAATACATCTGTACTTGCCTGAAGATGACTCCAGTGTTATGTTGAAACGAACTGTCATTATGCTAAAGATCACATGAATCCAGGAATTTACACCAATCTTTACTATCCTACACTAAATCGTGCTATCAGTTTTACTTGGTTAAAATAATGAAGTTGTATTTACATAAATCAGTAATTACATAGCCTTACTCAGTCGGTGGCGTAATGAAACTACGTTCATTTTGACACAAAACCGGTGACAGTTTAGTATTGAGATCTGTCAACGGTTTTGGCCAAGAATTGTACTCCTTCCTTTTCCTAGGTTCGCTCCGACGCGCGCCGCGATGCCCTGGGATGGTGTGCGGTTGTCCACGACGCCCGGTCCTGCCTGTCCTCAGCGTCTACCTGACCTCTCCAACGAGACAGAGGCTCTGGAGCGTATGCCCAAGGGACGTCTGGAGTCCCTCAGGAGGCTGATCCCTCTCCTGGGAAATCAGAGCGAAGACTGCCTCTACCTCAACATCTTTGCTCCTATTCAAAGTATGTAGTATTGATTTTAAAATACAATACGCTATCTCTGTAAGTAAAATTGGTCAAAATCCTACCATTAAAATTTGAAACACGCTTCAAACTGCTTGTGTAGACATAAAAAACCAATACTCAAACCATACTTTACTAATTAATTTAAAGTTGTATGGCACTTTATTATATAATGATTGAAATTGTACTACTTTTATTAGTTATTGTAATAGGTTTTGTTATTTTCATTCCTTCCAAACTATTTTCTTATTATTACTTTTTTCAAAAACATATAAAGTGACCCCTATAGCCACTCAACTACCAAGACCATTACTAAGTATACCACTACAAGTAGACTATTTCTTATAATCGATTTCAATTGATAATAGGTTAAATTTACCTGTTATTTCCGTTTCAGTGTTTTCCCTAATCGATTGACTTTTATTTATTCCAGCGGCCCCTCGGGACAAGACTATACGCTACCCAGTCCTAATCTTCCTCCACGGGGAGTCGTTTGAGTGGAACTCCGCCACACCGTATGATGGGAGTGTGTTGACCAGCTATTCTGATCTGGTTGTTGTCACCATCAACTATCGCCTGGGGATACTAGGTAAGTCTGGAAACAAATAAGAGCCACAGTATGACGAAAAGCTATGACAGTAAGTATGAAACAGTGCCCAATATTACCAATTTATACTTAAACACTACAACTGTACGAATCATGGAACTTTACTTAATCACTGTATATTTTGTGTACTTTTACGACACTGGTCTTTTTCCCATTTTTAGTAACGATACTGACCAAACAGTTGTTTTGTTATTATATACTGCAAAGTTTGTTTTGAAATTATAATACATTAGCCTAGTACTGAGGGTGTATGAACAAAAACCAACCCTACTTGGAATGGGACGAATAGTCTTCCAATTTGAAATCCATCTCTACAATTACTAGGTAACTTAAATTTTTTGGGCGGACTAAGCTTTGGTACTTATATGCTCATCGTCATTGGAAAACCTCGATATAATATTAGAGTGATGGTTTTGAATGGCTTGGTCATAGAAAATAGATGATAGATACTTTGACAGAGGCTAAAGTCTGATCAATGAAAACAGCTAATCTTAGTCAGTAACAAATTTACACAAGACATAATCTCTATTCTACAAACACCCTTCACATAAATCGTAGGACAAAACTAGATAATTTTGTTGTATTCTGTGTTCATATTCAAAATTTGTATTCTACTACGTAGCTTAAAATACGTGTAAGTTACATTATCGATGATAAAGTAAATACAATTATAAAGTAATTTTAGTGATTAAATAAGGCATAGCACATTATACCTATGACGAACAAATATTTAAAATAGATAACAATAAAATACAAGTTTGTGTTGGAGATGTTAATAGTAATAGCAATGAACGAAGTAAACTGTTGTTAAAAAGAGTTAACATCCAGGTACACACGAGTTAAACAAAAGGGATCTCAGCAGTAGAGGAAAGGGATTGGTAAAACACTATGGACAATGTAAGTGGTTCACCTTTTGAAGTAATTTATCCTCACTTTAAACAATGTTTTACTCGGTGCACTGTCGATTGTTCTACCCACCTTTGTGGTCTTAAATTCTTAAATTTTCTACCGTAGTTTTTTTTTATACATGAAAAGCAAAAAGGGGGAATGTAAAATTACTTTATAGAGAGTAACAAATTAAATTAATTTTTCTATTGTCTGTTCAATATTATAAACTGTTACCTGCTATAAGCCAACTTTTGTTTCCGAATATTTCAATAAACTACTAAAATTTAAGTTTATTTTAAACAATCGTACATTTATTAATATTGACTATATAGTTAAATCTATGCACACCTCTTTCCTTAGGCAAGTATTAATGCTATTGTCTCTAAGGAGAACTGCACTAAATGTAGTTCTAAAAATAATTTTGTAACTATGAACATAATAAAAAAATTAAAATTTTACAATATACTGAAATGTTTGTCTTTTACCACAGAGTGTTCCTACCTAATGAATAGTTAAAATGTGTTTTGTTATTTAAAACCAAAGAAGTACTACACACATTCAAACCTCCACTCCATGAAAAACAGTATTAACAGAAATTAAACATTAAGTGTTTTATATAGTGGTATACTTACCTTTACTTTTGTCCCATCTCAAGGCTAGGTGTATTATCTACAACCAAGGTTTCGACGCTAGTTTAGTTACGTCATGGTTGTAGATAACACAACTGTCTTTAAACTGGGACGAGAGTAAAGGTAAATAAACCACTATATATATATTTATTTTACCAGTTCAGGGGCAAGCAACATCAATTAGTAAAATACAGTGTTTTGGTCCCTGGAGAAATTAAAGTCGTACCAAAAATAAAGAAGTACCACCGATTGCTTTCTTTAAAGACCATACGGTGTAAGCCACTTACATGCTGAGAAACTTAAAAATTTACTATAATGTTTTTGCAATATCTCGGGTACAGTTAATGGCAATTTGGTACATTTTATGAAGGAGTCCATGTAATAATAATTACTCTCTTCCTGCTGTGTAACAATTTGACTATGGATATGGATATTTTAATTTAGCTATGTCATAAACTGTTTGTGCAGATAGTAGGGCATATTTGTAACGTAAAGAAAAATAGAATATATACACCTGCTTTTGTAAATTCTCTGGATACAGTATTGGAGGAGTATAATTAATTGTTAGTAAACCATTGTATTATTGTACGTTTATCTCTCGCAGGGTTCCTAAACGCCAACGTAGCTCCCAACGCGAGTCCGCGGGTAGCGAACTACGGTCTGATGGACCAGCTGGCGGCGTTACACTGGGTCCAGCAGAACATTGCATTGTTCGGAGGAGACCCTAGGAACGTGACTCTAGCAGGGCACAGCACTGGAGCTGCTTGTATCAACTTTCTTATCATATCACCTACCGTCATGCCAGGTGCGATCTTACATATTTTATTGTGTTCGTTGAATTTCTGATACTTCAGTCTCATCTATAACAGATCAGCTGTAACAACTTATTTTAAATCGAACATAGTAGAATGAGTCGACCGAGTCCTTGGAGCCTAGACATTCTGACTCATAAAACGATTAAAGAACTACGAAGATAATTTCTTATCCTTTCCTAGATATTTAAATTACAATCACTCTGGTGTAAAAAAAGATTTTTTGGACGGTAAATAACTCTTCAGTGGCTGTTAACGAAAATTAACGAAATTAACATTTGTTTTATGGCGAACAAATCCAAGATGGCCGTTAGCTTGAATGGACTCCCTTGAAGAACATTTTAAAACTACAAAGAAAATTTATAATCTCACATCATACTAGATATTTAAATTATAATCACTTTTTTGTTAGAAAAAAATATTTGTGGGCGGTAAATAACTCTTTAGTAGCTGTTTTAAATTATCCAAGATGGTCACTAGCCTCCAAGGACTCATTCTACTGTATGTTATCAGTTAGTAGTATGTCTTGCTAGTATTAATATTCCATAAAATATGCCATACCACACAGGATGTTCCTATCAACGTTTAGCTAGATTAAACACTGGGTGTATTCAACTGAAGTGAAAATGAAATAATGATATGTAGATTTTAAGGGTTTAGAGTAAATAATCCCGCATTGAACAATTTTAAAAACGAATGTTTAATAGCAATTTTAGCATGAAGATAAAGATCCTAAATTTATTTGTTAACTGAATCATTATTTTTGTTTCTTATGATCACGATTATTGAATGTATTATTGATAATTCAAGTTTAGTAGCGTACGTTACCTATGAAATTCATACTAAGAATGGATTTTAAAGTTTCACAATCAGTAATAAATCATATACGGTATAAATACACGGAAGGTATGAATAAAAATACTCAATGCAATTAATGGGTTAGCAATTATTTTAACTATCGTTGTGTGATTCTCCTAAGCTATTAGGCAAATTATAGATAAGCTATCCAAAGTAAATTAAAACAGACAAACAAATTTGGTTCTATTCCAGGACTTGAATAAACATACTTGTGATTGAAAAACATATGAACGATTCTATCAATTCAACATTAAATTAGGTTTATCAAATAGTTAAATTAAATCAAATGAGTGTTTAACTAATTAAATTGATTTTATCAAGGGATTCATTCTCACCACATAAATAATATTAAAATCATCGTTGCATCTTTGTGCAGGTCTTTTCCATCGGGCAATTCTGCTTTCCGGATCTGCGCTGAGTAGTTGGGCGTTGGTGGAGGACCCAGTATCCTACGCGGTCTCGCTGGCTCGCCAGGTGAACTGCTCCGTTCCGGAAGACCTTCTGAGAGACAACGAAGACATCGTGGACTGTCTTAGAGACGTTCCCCTCCAGAGGTTACTCTCAGCTGACGTCACGGCCCCTTCCTATCTCAGCGCCTTCGGTCCCAGCGTGGACGGTGTCGTCATCAGAACAGACTTCCGGGAGGAGCTGCTCATCAACTACCTCCCAGACTTCCCGGGTCTCACGGGTGCCAGTGTCCTGAACTATAAACGTGGCGAGAACATGTTCGGTAGAAACAAGTACGACTTGATGCTCGGAGTGGTCACGGGAGAATCCTTACCGAGGTTCCCAACGGACGATATCAAGTCGGGGTTCGGTAGTGAGCGGAGGGACAAGATACTAAGGACTTATGTGAGGAACGCGTACACTTACCATCTCTCGGAGATCCTGTCGACGGTGGTAAACGAGTACACGGACTGGGAGAGAACGGTGGTTCATCCCATCAACACCAGGGACGCTACGGTCGCGGCGCTGTCAGACGCTCAGTATGTGGCACCTCTAGTGTTGACGGGAGATTTGCTGAGCCAACCTCCTCCGAGTGTAGGGGACCACAGAGAGGACATGACCACGAGGTCGTTCTTCTACGTGTTTGACTACCAGACCAAAGAGGGTGACTACCCTCAGGTGAGAAGCGTATTCTGCATTTCCTTAAATTATCAAGTCCTGTATTTGATGTATAAGTGAAAAATGTTCACTCCTGGAATCTTTATACAGTACTGGTGGAATAAATGTGTGCTGAACACATTTTTTCTATGCTGACAAAACTAGTAGCTTTGTGATTGTAAATAACGGTTTGTAAATATTACAATCAACTTCCTTGGGACCAGGTGTAGCTTATGGAAAATCAAACTCGATGATTGCTCAATAGTAATTATGCTGTTACGTTATTATTCTAGATTAGATAAAACCAATGTTCGACTTTTGAATGTTAGTTTTAATGCCGAGCAATATCAAACCTTTGTCAATCAATTTTGTACTAGTACAGTATTTAAATTAGTCAAAAAATATTTAAATGTTTCAAAGCTATTAAGAAATGACAAATGATGCTACCGACTCTCTCATCCATCTACGTCTAATGTGATGCATATTTTATCTTCCTTTCTTGGTTTGTTATGGACATGAATATTCAGTATGTAAGTTATGCACCATGCTTTTCTTTGCCACTATAGTCAGAAATTCACTAGTTTCATTTTCAGTCGATACTATGCTATCCAGTTTTAAACGTGGTTTCAAATAATAGTATTTACCTATTAAAATTAATCTTTTTTAAAATTAGTCATAAAAGGCTAGTTTTAGTTTGTCATTAATGTGTAAAAAGAAAAACAAAACATAGCTTTGTTTTTCAATTAATAAATTTAAAGAAGATATAATGAAGCTAATTGCATCCAAACAAACTTTGCTATTTACCAAACAGCTGAACTAAAACTCAAACAAAACTGATTGAATAACAATGGTATTAAGATAATGAACAAACATTTTAATGGGATTAAACTCAAACAAGCAAAGCATCTCTTTTATTAGCCGTTTAATGGGATAATGAGATTAGTTATCCCTGCAGGTATGATCAAGTAATATACACAATAAAGAACATCCTTATAAGATTACGTATATTATACGATGAAAAAGTTTCATCATACTTTTCTAAGCATTCTTATTACTACTTATTTGGATTTTAAAGGATTTTAAATCAATTTTTCCTGGTAAAAAAAATTAAAAGCTTATATCTTTACAATTTCTGTTAATTTAAAATCAATTAAAAAACTACCCACAATAATTTATCTTATGTCTGTGAAAATAAAATCAACTGTATTTAAAATTTTCAATTTTTTATCACTTATTACAAAAGTGGATTTATAAGTAACCAAGTGATTAGCGTATACAAGTTACTGGAATATAAGTTAATCAGTAACAGTTATATTAGGTACTTAGGGATTAACATTAAACAATGTATCTACTGAAAATTTAAATAAGTTAAGAATCCTGTCAATTCACTAGTTAGTTAATATTTTGTTACGCTTAAAACAGAGGCTTAACTGATTCCGAGTGCCATCAAATCACCAATTAAAAATGCCAATGCAAAATCAGTTGTAAACAGTTGTTTACATCACTAACGATAAGCCATCTATAATTACTTTTGCGATTTGTCTCTCAACAAATTATTAACATTTTCAATCTCTCGTTTAAATTAACGTTATCCTAACGGTTCATTAGTAGAACAATGTCATGAAAGGTCTTGATTTGTATTTTGCAGTAGTCTTTCAATTGAAATATGTTTGTTGAATTGTTTGTTACAGCATAATTCTTTGTATAACTAATACATTAATTCCACCAATTACTAAAAAGTGTTCTTTTTTTCTATCATGTTGTGCTCTGCTTTGGTTCACTGTAAGTGTGAGTTTATTTTAGATATCAGTTTAAATTTTTTGGCAATAAACTATTTATCACTTCATTATTTTTTTATGTTTTGTAGAAATTGGGAACAGCACACGGTGAAGAACTACCATACTTCTTCGGCGCTCCATTAGTCGATGGATTTGCGCATTTCCCAAAGAATTATACTAAAACTGAAGTTGCTCTCTCCGAATCCGTCATCATCTACTTCAGCAACTTCGTGCGCAGTGGGTGAGTGGTTTGAGTATAATTGGCTGTATAAAATATAATGACTATTAAATAAGCGTCAGGGCTTTTATTTTTTTTTAGTTACAGGGACACTATCAACACATGAAATATGAAAAATTCGATATACTAACACTTCACCGAGTCTGCAAAATATGTATAAACAATCGCTGATTTATCTTATTTGTATTTAGGAAACACAAGCTCTAACCTCAGTTCTGTTAATGTAAGCTATATGCGTAAAACAAAATTAATATAAGCAGACATTTTGTTACTGGTCATGAAGCTTAACAGTTCAATGTTTCGTAAGTTTACTTAAAGTTATTCATTGGTCACAGCATTAAATAGGATTCGTTATGAATAAAAAAGAGTTTTAATACACTTAAACCTTTTGGAAAAAATAATTAGCGATACTTGTGTACATTTATTAATATTTTAATGAAGTATATATTTTAAGTATAAAAATAAAATAAATTCTGTCTCAGGAGCCCGAACGCGTTCCACAAACAGGAAGTGTCGCTAGCCGTCTCCAAAGAGAGGAACCGTTTCCGGACAATCACTTGGGACGAGTACGACCCTGTTCATCAGAAATATCTAGAGATAAGTACGTCGTTTCTACCTAACAGCAGGGCATTTAACTTTTAAATGTCATTTCGTCGTAATTATGTTTATGTAAAAAGTTTAATGTGTAGATACGTATATATTATACAACGTTGAAAAGCTGTTGTTGGGAAAAATGGTTCATCTGCAACCGTTAAATATAAAATGTATTGCTTATGATTTAATAAGTAGTTTTAAAATTAACTTTTGATACTTTAAAATAGTTCGATATTTTCTACAGTTTTTGATAACAATAAATTACTTAATGACATTTGGCTGAAGTAGATTATTCTTTCAATTAATATTCTATTGATTTTATGAAGTTAAATAAAAGGAAATCAGCTTTCGATACAAGTTTTCTCATATTTTGAGATTGCTACCTGCCGGTACTCGTAGACAGTGTTTAAATAACAATACATTTAGGCTGCAATTAAAGTACATACAGTTTCAATATGAAAGGTCTTACTATCAGTCTAACCTGATTTATTGTGTGTGCTTGGCTGAAATATTGAATCGACATGTTCATGTAGTTCAATACTTAAAAGAAATGCCTTCAAAAAATGAAACGCCCAATTAAAAAAATCTGCAAAATACAAGTAAATCTAATAATGCATTACGTGAAAGGTAATGCTTTCATGAAGATCCTAACACACAATATAGTAAATACTAATATAGGTGTTGTCTTACCTTGTCCTTAACAGTTCTTTGTAGCCTAATATAATTGGATTTTCGTTTGAAAATTTACAATCGAATAAACGAAAGCTCCCTTTTGATTCAAAGCGAATAACTCTTACGTAATAAATAATTATTAAGCTAGCTCTTTTAAATGCAATTCAAGGGCGTAATACTGTAGTCATGAGTATTGGAAATTTTGACACAGCAAAAAAATATACATGTAAATCAATTTTTTAAATATACAGTTTTAACGAATTGCTATAGGAAAATTTCTTTTTTAAACTCATTTTATGTTAAATTAATTATGCAATGGTGAGTTAAGTAAACTCGTATAAATATGATAAAAGAAAGGAATTTGTCGTAAAGCTTGCACTACCTGTAACCTTATATACAGTAGTTTATATTGTAGTTTTATATACAGTAGTTGCCAAGAAAGAGGACACGTTTATAAAACAGCCGCAGTTGTCCCATCTACCACAGAAAAGTCATAGTCACATGATGTCATGGTTCTGCTTTTATAGAACTTTTAGGTGGTCAAGGATTGAATCCCTTCTCGGCATCGTTGAATATCAATATTAATATTATGGAAGAAGGTGATTATTTAATTACTTAAAGCTGTTAAATGGCAATCCTGAACTTATAATTATTTAACTTATATAATTGTTGGAAGAATAAACTTTTTTAAGTCTACAGAGTTAAACATTGATAAAATTCATCAACGTTTTATTAATATTTAACTTTAATTATCCTTGTATAAATCATTCTCCTTATGTTCATTGTAATTTAAAAACGTCCTATTTAGTTCACATTATGGTTTTGAATACTTAAAAAAAATAAATATATTTAAAACATATTAATGACAAATAAAAAAAAAAACTGTTGGCACCCAAAGATACCAAACCGTTAAATAAGGTAAATCTTTTTAATCGAATTTCCCACTTAACCATAAGACTGTAGCTAGGCTTTATGAACTTCCTATCTCAAAGATTGTGTGAGAAATTCTGAATAGATTACGCATATGTTGTAGGTATGAAACCGCGGATCAAGAACCACTACCGCGCCCACCAGTTGTCAGTGTGGCTGCGCCTCGTACCCGAGCTGCACCGAGCTGGTATGGAGGACGTGGTAGCCAGACATAACTTGTTCCGTAATCACGACGACCTACGGTTGTACGACGGCGTGGTGAGGCCAGACCCTCTACGGCGTCTCCAGGACATCCGTAGCAGAGGGAACCTGACGGTGGCGGAGGTGATTCTCCCGATGACCACCACAGACCCTCCACTCACTACATGCATGACCGTCCATCATCCACACAATAACTCTGAGACCATCACTCACCTTGAGGCAGCGGGCTACGCCGCGTACTCCACCGCCTTCAACGTCACCGTCGCCGTTGGCTGCTCTTTGCTCATCCTCAACGTTCTCATCTTTGCCGGAGTGTACTATCAACGCGACAAGACAAAACTGGAGATGAAGAGTTTGCAACAGCAAAAGTCCTTCAATTTTGACTCCATGGGCAAGTTTCACCACGCTTCTTCCGCGAGTGTCATAGTGGACATCGAGAGAGACGCTTCTACTATTATATTCGCTGATGGTACACTCCCTCGTTCGGGATCCCCCGGGGCAAAGTCTCTGGCTCGGCTCCACCTCGTCAAACCTTCCATAGCTTCTAATATACACCCGAACCACGCGTCCACGCTCCCCCGCAACACCACGTTCAAGTCTATGGACCTGGTAGGGCCTCCCAACGGGTCTGTCACCCTCCCTAAGACTCCGCCTCCCAAGTCCCGCACCATCTCAGACACTTCATCCTCCCTAAACCCCCCCTGTAGTCTTGCCTCCAACACAGTCAATACCATCAAGGTGCCCGCAGCAGCCATCAGTGAAATGATCGGTTAATTCAACGAAGACTGTTCAATTGTGTAAATAGTTACTTCACACTTTATACAGCCGTTAACACCTAAAACATAAATGGCAAATGCAAAGTAAGTTTTTCCAACAAAATCAAAAACGGCGTAATCTATACTTAAATTTATATTGCTAAAATATATTCCAACATTTTTTTTTACCTTTATGATCAAATTATTTCTCTCTATAAAATGTGTTACTTTAATTCGCGTTATTAACGTATATATTCATTGGACACTTTACATTTGCCAATGTTTTGTAGCTGGTTTGTACAACTTTTATATATCTAGTCAATTTTGTATTGTAAAGTTAATATGTTTCTTATGGTTGTACTAATACATTTATAAGCGATAACTTTTAAACATAATTTGTACATTTTGTTTTGTGCCTATACATTCATGTTTGTTATTCTTCCGGAAGTAATACAAGTATTACAAATATCTCTGTAATACAATGTATTTTTTTAATTTTCTTAGAATTTTATTATATCGTACAGGTAATGTAATTACATTATAAATAAATAAAGAAAATACATCTTATTATTGAGGTCTAATATTCTACATAAATTATCTACCTAATAAATTGGCAATGTTTTCTTGAAATGTATATTTTTTTAATATACATAATATACCTGATACTCAAAGTTTTTCCTCTAAGTGAACAATACACCTTGAGTAGTTGTTGAGTTGCAATTTAAGATGTTAAGTTTTTTGTACAATTATTATCAACGAACTAACCCTTGTGTACATAACCAAGCAATTAATAACTGAATTTGGTTACTGTGCTTTTTATTTTGTAATATTTCATACTTTAAGACACCTGTAAAATATGTAAATTAAAAATAAACTATTTATTACTGTTACTTACTGATTCATGTTAATACTTCCTAGCGTACTTCCTAATCATAGTTAAAGATATATAGTTGATACATTTTTAGGTCGGTTTTATCAGATTAAACCATTTCAACCAGTATGAGTGGACAGGATAATTAATTACATAACTAATGCCTGCTCAAAATAACAAATCGAAAAGAAAAAAATGTCCTTTGTATCTAACTATTTTAATAGGTACAGTATTAGTTAGAACGGTTAGATTACTTATCCAAACATATAAATATTTTATATTATAGTCTTTTGTGAAAAAAGGTTATGGACTATAATTTCCATTATTAGACATGCAAATTTCAGACGATATAACTGCTCATTGCTTTTGCTGGATTTTACAATACGAATCAATAAACTAGAGCATTTGAGTAAAAGTGTATTAGTGTTATGTAATTATTATTAGTTATACATCCCGTAAATAGACATTTTCCAGCGGTACCTTTGAACCTTAAGACAGGGTATTTGAAAGAGTTTGGGAAAGTTTACGTAGTGATTTCTTGGATGAAAATATGAAGACAATCAGGAATAAAACCTTTTCCTCAATCATTTCGTTAACCAGATATCCGACATTTTTGTTACATAAACATTTTAATTTATGGATTGTTTTAGCCGATCATTATGAAACGTTGTATCAAAGATAAAGTTGAAAAAGTCATATTAAAAAATATTATGATCGAATTAAAAAAGGTTGGTAGCTATTTTAATTTTTAAATTTAAAATCAAAATGCTGATTAGGTAAAACAAAGGAAAATCTAATGCAGCCTGATATCTACATATTTATATATATTTATTATTCTACCTCGTTTTACAAAAGAAACAAGTATTTTTCAGCTATTTTATTTTCTATATTTTTGAGCTTGGTGTCGTTTGATAAAAAATTTAAATGCATAATAAACGTGTTCTTGAATTAGTTTCAATTTTTTTATTGAAAAATCAAAATATCCGCCATTTTCTATTGAACCGAAATAATGGTCTCTTAATATACTAAGTTTCATAAGAATTGGTTGAAACAATCTAAAAATAAAAATATTACAGAAAAACATTCAAAATGTTGGAATATGGTTAAGAAAGCCATTTTAAAACAATATTATTAATTTTCTCCATCTTTGACTCAATGAATCACTATATAAATTATATCACCACCTTTTTTGAATATCTTGAATACCTATTTTACTTTAAGCCATCTCAATATTATTAGCATTCATGTCAGCAAAATTATAAACATCTTTGTATTATTATTACTTAATAAGAAAGTAGTAAATGTAATATATCGACTGCTAGTAAGGTTTTACTTCATGAAGAGTCCATGTTCTGCTACATCTATACCTATGTTAATTCATAAAAAAAATTGTATATGTTTCAGACTTCTAAGGAACTGATTGTATTTCATGATTCACGGAATCGGAAAATTCACTGAAGTATTTCTTACCTCCATTGAAGGGGTCAAATATTTAAAATAAATGACAGGTAAAATGGTATCTATGACAGTTTGCTCGATGAGCCTTTTAGATAAGCAGCGACATCCCAAAGGAGCCATGAATCGTCCTCCCTATTATCTTCTTCCGTTAAAGGAATTTCATCTTCTTTTAATAACGTTGTGGTTTCATTTCCTCACCGATATTTCGTAAAGGTATTGGCCGAGAGCTTGGTTCTATAACATGCTTGACTAAGATTTGAAGTCTTAAGGGTTGTTTTCACAATCAGTATGTAAAGAATTTACAAAAGTAAACTAATAAATAATAACGCGATTACGTTGTTTAATTAAACTATTTGTTTTTAGTATTTAATTCACATACGATCGCGTCTGCAAAATTTATTGCCGTGTATAATGTATTGCTATATAGCCATAGTGATACACGTGTCGTATTACTCAGTGTTATTAGTAATCTTAGGCAAAAAAAGGACGGGATGCAAACATTGATAGATAGATGGATAGAATAACGAATTGGTACTTTGGTATTATAAAGACCACACCGATAAATCGACTTCTAAATAAGAATTTAATCAGTTTAAATAGCAAAATCTTCCTAACCTAACCTAAGAAAAATAGTATTAATTATTCTATTACTACTTTTTACTATCGATAATTGATAGTACTATAATTATTATAATATTATTGTTATAAGTTTGTGTTACTTTATTATGGAATTGAAATATACACCTCTACATCAGTTTAAATTATACAATAGTCAAATGATAGAATGGTTAATTTGTAATGTGTTCGATGAATGTGGTTCTAGTAGTAAATTAGTGTTTGCTCAGAAAATAAAACACTTGATGAGTTGAAACATTGTTATGTCCAACGGAGGTCTGAGATTGTATGACCAAGTATACTTTGAATCTTCGTAAGCCCTGGGTTAAATGTATCCATACATATAAATCTTTAGAGTCTTGTTATACCTGTTTTCCCCTTCTCGTGTAATAGCCCTATGATGACTCTGACACAAACATACCTTAAACCTCAACTGTCCGCCACCATAATACTGTTTGTCCATGTAGTGATCTAAATACAGAAAAGTGTAGTATAACAATATATTCCAGGCAACCAGTCCCGGACTAACCTTAGTTATGAGCAAAAGACGTTGCCACTGAGCTCCCGTGAGAAAAAAATATAAAAGAAAAGAGAATATATAAGGTTGTTTTCATTTATAATACAAGAATACCCTTTATTGGTCTAGCCCTCAGAAAACCTTTATGTTGGTATGGTAGAGGGCCAGCCAGATGAGCTAGATTGATTACTTGTTTTTCATGCCCTGAAATCTAGGGGAGGAGCTGGTAGTGATGGTAAGAACAAAAATCATTACCCATGTATTTTGAAGTGTGTAAGCTATTTTGTTTTCACAGGTAAATTCCAATGCATATATATTTTTAAATGTGGATAGTTTATTTTACTATATTGTAAAAGTTGTGTTAGCTAATTATATCAATGAACGGAAGTAAACTAGGGAACTGTCTTTGGGTAACTCCCAATAAAATTCTTATAAAAGGAATTCATTTAGATTAAAACTAAATTGTTGCTAAAGGAAGTAGTGTAATATTTACTAGATTTTGGTTAAAAGAACAAGTAATTTTAAAGCACAATGTACTTGGGCGTTGTAATAGTTTACATTCCTCTATAACGTTTCTTTCAATATTTATAAACGAAGAATTTAACCGAAAATGGGTATTGATTTATTTTGTCTGAATTTAGGATCTATTGAATTATTAGTATAATTTATCTACTGCACTTAAGTAAAAAATCAAATTGTAGAAAGGATATATGTTCTGTCTATAAATCGGAGGTAACAATGGCGTCTACTTGAAAGAATAGTCAATATTAAGTGAGATCGAGGTAACCACCAAAACTTAAATAATCTTGTTCCATACAAAAAAGACCGTGGATAATATTTGTTGAGGAAAGTCATCATTACTACTGCCCTATACGGAAATCAGCAAAAAGGTCTCAAACATATGAAATCAAGCGGGATGTTGAAAGGAAACCTGCTCAGAAAACCGTTGTTAGACTTCACAATAACATCACTGAATTTAGAAATAAATTATATCATTCTGCATCGACATAAGAAGGAAGCAATCTTAGTGTCCTTTAGGAATAGTTGTGTTTATTACTATAAAATAAGGAACAATGCCATAACTCTCGTAAAGAATTTAAAACAATAAGTTATCCCGAAGCATTTTAAATATTTTTTATAAATATTTTATATATTAAATCTTTTCACCTTAACTTTTAACAAAATACTCCTTCAACGTTTCAATTATTGAACTGTTTGATAAGTCCAGGTTGAAATATTTGAACAGATCATTATTATAAAACCTCGGTTGAGTGCATTACATCGAATGAGGCAACTAACCCAAATTGTAATATTCATTCTCGGGAAAAAATATTTAAAGCCAGTAAATACGAGTAAACAAAAAAATATTTTCATTACTCTACACACGAAAGTACACTTTCTAAACGTAAAATGAGATAAGAAAATAGGTAATTCCCGCTACTGCACGGAAAAGTTACATAACGTTAACTTTCCGTGCGTATGTACTGCACGGAAAGTAACCGCTATGGGATTTTGCGGTGCAGTCAGATCAGCTGATTGTATTGTTGTTGAAAACACATTCCTCGCTTATATATTGACATTGTCAGTTAGGTTATGTTTGTTGAGATAGATTCTTTGAACTATGTGTACTAATATGGATAATATTCCTGAAACTTTGATGAACAGAGCGGTAAGTGTAACAAACGAATTATTGCCTGATGTGTCGCGTTTAAGATACGAAAATGAATACGATAAGCTTTGTACTTGGTGTCAAAAAGAAAACATTAAACCTAGCCAGGTTAATGATGACATACTTCTAGTCTATATGTCAGAACTGTCGAAAACTATGAAACCTAGCACCTTGTGGAGCAAGTATTCAATGGTTAAAAATGTCTTAAAAGTAAAAGAAAATCTTGGAAATTTAAAATTTCCAAAAACAGTTGCATTTTTAAAGAAAAAGTCTGTTGGTTTCAAACCTAAAAAAGCGAATGTTTTTCAATCTGATCAAATTTCTCAGTTCATGATCAACGCTCCCGACAAAGAATGGTTGTTAAGTAAAGTAATTTTGACGTTTGGCATTTTTGGAGCCCTTAGGCGAGATGATCTATTACGCCTTAGCATAAATGACGTAAAAGATTATGGCAGTTTCATTAAGGTTACATTGAGAGATGGTAAAACACATGCTAGCAGAAGTTTCATCATTACAGACGATGAATGTACGTATCAACCCTGCCAGCTAGTACGTAAATATTTGTCTTTACGCCCATCAAAAATGACGAGCCCTAGACTTTTTGTTGGCTTCAGGCAAGGCAAGTGCGTAGCACAACATGTCGGGAGTCATACGATTTCGGATGTTCCCAAAAAGGTCGCCCAGTACCTTAAGCTAGAACAGCCTGAATCCTACACAGGTCATGCTATTCGACGCACATCCGCGTCAATGCTGGTGGAAG